AGCTCTGATCTTGTGATTGATGTGTGCAACATTTGGTTATACACTAAATAATCTGATTTATGATCAGGGTTTTAGGGTTTAGATAAACCTTGACTTAAAATTATATCTTTTGTAGTAGTAATTAGATTGATGGGTTTATATTCTTATCATTATTCATTTTTTGATTTATCTATTTTTTAAATGTAATTGTTTTGAAAATTATACATAAATATTAAATCCAAATATCATATAATGTTATTTTTCTCTTAAAATGGTGGTAAGACATAAATATAAACAATACCAATTCCCAATGTTCTTTGAAATTCTTAAACTTTTTTTAATGATATAAACACTGAATTAAAAATATTTTTAATTCAGTATATTTATAAAATAATAATTCAGTAAAGTATTTATAATTAGTTTCTAATTTAGAGCATACACATAGACCCTGTAAACCGAATATTCTAATACTAACACTCAACACCAAACATGGTTATAACAACACGAGTGCTGTGGCTGCACTGGCCTGTAGTATTCACATTGCAGAGTTTACACAACATGTACCAGCCCCATGTGAGCGACTTGGACGCTTCATTTACATTTGGCAGATTGTTTTTGTTCATGTTGTTTTCCAGTGCTCCCAGACTCATAATGAGCACACATGACTCAGTCCGGGCTCCTGTCTCTCTCTCATAGAGTCCAGAAGTGCAGATTGAGATGCTGAGGCTCCAGGACGTGTATGGGTGCACCCGTGGGTGCAATGTGAAGTGGCCCATGGGTGGTCCTGAAGCCTTGCAGAGGAGGGTCTGGAGTGGACAGGATGTAGTCGATACTGAACTTGATCTCAGACTCTGGTTTGCCCTGGCTGGAGCTGTCGGCCATGTTGTTGTGCGGAGGGCGCTGTCTTTCTGGATGGAGGGGGCACAGGGGTGAGTCCGGGGGGCAGCGGCGGGATGCGGGGGCGGGTGGGTTACTTTCCAGAGGGTGGAAGGGAGGCTCCGCCTCCCGTAGGCCCATCTTCATATTCCTCCTGCGCCGGCGACGTCGGAAGTTCCCGTTTTCAAACAGGTCCAGCATCGACTCACAGCCTGTGGCAAAAGTCCAGAAGTTTCCTTTCCCTTTCTCGTTCCCTTCAGTCCGAGGAACCTAAATACAAACACATGCTTTATCAAAACTACAAATTTTACACAAGTGTGAGGATTTATTATTCTGTATACATTTTTAATTATGTATATTATAGGTCTGTACAAAGTAATCTTTGAACAGATATTTGAGGTGCGTCTACCTTGTATAATAATGTAGAATAGTATTGGTAAATAATATACACATTTCTTTATTCCTATTAGGCTGAAAAGGAAATCAGCCGTATAATCCATATTTCAATATGCAATTTTGGGTTAACATGCCTTTATAATTCACATAATAAATATATTATAAAGTAGTCAGTCATGACATACTTGACCCTCCCTGTATCCCGTGACCTGTATCATGTCTTGTAGGTGCTGTACCTTGATGAAGCAGCTGTTGAGGGACAGGTTATGTCTGATGGAGTTCTGCCATGCCCTTTGGTTGGAGCGATAGTACGGGAACCTCTTCATGATGAACTCATAGATCCCAGACAGAGTCACACGCTGCTCCGGACTCTGCTGGATCGCCATGGCGATCAGAGCTATGTAACTAAACACACATCATACATATTTATTTAAGTCAGCCTTGATAAGCATGCATTTTTGCATTACTTTTAACATCAATGAAAATCATACATTGATGCTTAAAATGAATAAAAACAAGATTATTCTAATCCAGTGTAAGATGTGCTGTAATAATGAATTGGAATAAAATTATTATGAATCTTTCTAAAAAACACCTTTTGAAATAAATGGATTTTAGGCCTAAATCAAAGTTGGGAGAAGAAAGGTCTCTACTCCACTATGCCTTCTTCATTTATTATTTTTTAAAATGCTGTATCAATACAAAGAAAGATAATGCGAAAGAGTGCAACCAAAATACCTATGATGAGATTTTACAAACTTGTGATTTGATCTGTCTTGGTGTGAATGACTGTGCTGATGATTTGGTGGTTTAAAAGTAGGACTGTTTAATTAATACAATTTGAGCTCAGATTGAGAATCTATAATTTCTATTTGTCAGTGATTAGCTTGGGTCTTTTTAATCAAGAAGTCCAACACCGATCCAGTCAGTAAAAGCATGTGTTTTGGAGCAGAGGTCAGACTGGAGGAATAAATTTAACTTTTTTGTGGTAATTATTAAATGTGTCTATTGTTTATGCTAGCTAAATTAATTAATTAAATTTGAAAGCCATTTTATTAGTTTTTAATAAGACAAAATCAAATCTAAAATCAATATTAATCTGTGTGAGAAAAAAAAGATTCTTTTTTTGACATATTGTCCAGCCCTTTTTAAACGTACATCTCTGTGTTTACAGCCTATGGTTTGCTTTACATTCATACATCAATAACACATATTTACAGCAATCTTTAATTAACAATAAAATAAAAAATGATACATAATAGTTGACTTTAAAGAACTTTATATAGGAGTACTTTTTGTAAACGCTAAACGGTTGGTACCTGTAAGCCGGGCGGCACATTTTCTTGTCTTCGTCGGAGGTGGAGTTGGGGTATCCGTCTCCATCGTAGTTGAAGCAGTTGAAGGGGTAGTTGGAGTTATCGAACATGACGCTGCCTTCACGGGTCCCAGGCGAGCTCCGGGTCAGGTCCAGGCTCTGCTCCTCCGTTTGGTCCCCAGCAGCACCAGTGAGTCCCTCTCCTCCAGTCTGCCACATGCTCTGCTCGGCTGCCACTCACTGTTAGCTCGGCCCCCTCCTCGCCCCCTCCTCCTTCGCACCTTCTATAGGCCTACGTCCATTACACTTGTACATTGATCCGAGCACGGGTCACAGAACACAGGTTAACAGTCATGGGGTCCAGACACTGCATAATAAATATAAACATTGATTTTAAATTTGAATTCAGATTAATAGCAATGTGTTAATACAGGAATTTATGAAATGTTTACTTCATGGATTATTTTTCTAAACAAATCACTCTTTAAATTGCGTATGTCAGGTTAGACTTCTCGTTTCAGTAAAACGCAGTTAACATCTTTATGTTTAAGATTTATTGAAAAGTTTTTCCCTAATTTTCAAGTTTATAATTTCACTTCCTGGTTAGACATGGGCTGCAAATATGACTTAGAGGTTATTCCATGCCCTTTACCCCTTTACCTAGCAACCATTTTTAACAAGGACCAAAAATTACACCATGATTAGACCATGACTTTCACTTAAATTGTCTCTGCATTTTGGATGGAATTAGGCATATTTAAAAAACTGAGTTGTATAAACAGCCACTTGCCTGATGTAAAACTATGATAAATACTGATCACAGGTACTATCCCACTAAACCAAGTTATAATTAGAAAAACATGAAAACCTGTCAAAAGCACTTTAAACAGATTTATTTCATAATTTTTATGTTTTAAATTGAAGAAACTATTTCCTTTATTTGTAGGTGCCAGACTGTAGAGATTTGTAATTGTCTTTATTTACAGAACATACTATTAAGGGGCAAAATATATAATGCTGTGTGCAGTTGGAATCTTTATTGAAAAAAAAAACAAAAAAAAACCTGATGAGTTTGGTCATTTTAATGGGGAGGTCTACAGCCAGTTCTCCATCATTAAAAGCAGAGTTCAGACATTAGAAGAATACTATTGCGGCGTATGTAGCCCAATGCTTATCCCACACGCCGCGGCGGGCTAAGACACGGGGTAAAACACTGTGGACGCGTAACTCGGAACAAATGCATATACACGGTACTTGTTTGTCATAGTAGGCATACGCGTTAGAGCGCTTACTTTAAAGCTGCTGCCGTCCGTAGCCATGCACCGATCCCTTCTATATGCAAATCTTTCCTGTTAAAATACGGTCAACAGAAAGTTGCTCCCCGTGCTCACCCCGCCGCCATGATCCAAGGCCTTACACTCAACAGGTGAGCGCGCTCATATATAGGCCACACCACACCCACCGTGCCACCCCCAGACACCGCAGTGTAGTGCACAGAGTTAAAGCGTGTGCACACCAGTCACGTGAGGAAACCAACAGAAAACCCACGAATGGCTCCTACAAATACGTTTGACATTTTTTGGTTGTATTCAATTGCACTGATTAAAAATCTTGTTTGTGTTCAGAAAATTAATCCATATTTAGAAAAGTCATATTTAAATTAATAAGAACAAATAAAATCTAACTGAAAATCATGAAGAAAATATAATACAAAAATACACAAAAAACTTGATCTAATAAATAAACAAAATTTAAAATCAAAATAAAATTAAAACATTTAAAAGGTTTTTTTATAATGTCATTGGGACTATCAGTGTTAGAACCACCCAGCAGTAGTCACTTTTTGCCATATTGAAAGTACTACTATCCCTCCTGCTTGTTGTACATTATACAATTTGTTACATAGTGTTCAAAGGACGCTGCTTAATTCTTTATCCCCAGGCTATAGCACTGGACAGCTCCCGCCTCTTCCTCTGTACTCATTGATTCCTGGGTGGTCCTGTACTTGGTAGTTTTGTTTTATTTTTGCTTCTTTTTATAGACTAATCTCTGTAACTGTACCAGAAACGCGTAGACTGCCCCAAACCAACAAACAAGACCCTTTTACGTCTTTGTTAACTCTTTAGCATCTTTGTGTGTGTGTGTGTGTCCACTCTGGCCTCCGATTAGCCGGGAAGTTTTGGAGATGCTATCTATAATGCTCTATAATGGCCATAAATTGTTTCCGTGCGTATAAAAGCGAGGATGTGTATTTTGAGGGGGGTCTGTTGAACGGGGCGATTGGGGAAGGGGGTCCCGAGGGGAGATGGGGGCCGGTACAAACAGCCTGTAGGTCTGGCGGTGTGTGGGCCCAGCGGAGCACAGCAGCAGCAGCAGCAGTAGCCCATAGCAGCTCTATCAGTCAGGCCTTGAGATATTAAAAGAGTGCATGTTTGTTTCTGATTGGCTAATGTAATGAAGCGGGCAAAAGGTCGAACTCAAACCACCCTGGAATTTTAGGAGCGCTCAGTGGGGATGGGGATGTGGCTTACAAGTTTTCTGTGTTCTTTGGGAAAATGTGTTCAGAAATTAGTCATAGTTATGATTTAAAAGTGCAGCGTGTTTTTTTTCCAGTAGGCGGGTTTGCCATCTGATTGTTTCCATGGAGATGTTATTGCTTTGCTTGGGATGTTTCACAGAATGGCATTAAACAGGTTAGGTGAGGCACCCTTTACATAGTAATTGATAGGTATATTATTATTTACAGTTGTATTGTATATTAATAATACTTGTATAATAATATTATGTAGTATGCTCTAGATCGGAACTCTGACTCCAGGTGTTGTTTTGTATGTGTTATAACAATGCTTGTACTATTAAAAATGTGTAATCAAAACAAAAGTTAATTAAATGTTCAGTATGGGGTGTCATTTTGCTGCACAAAACCTGGTCCTCATCATGCGATAGTCGCTTTTAAAACGCTATTGGAAGGTTTGAAGCTTTATATTTTCTTTGTTATATTTATATTTTAGCTAATGTCAGGTTTTAACCCAGGACGAAAAGTAAGCATTTATCTTGAGTGTAAGAGTTTAAATTTGAGTTTTTTTTGACACTAACATTTATATAAAACATGTTTTGTAGGAGACATGCCTATAGCCATAATCTTACCCTGATGATCATTAGTGGATGTACACACTGAGTCTATTTGCCTTAATGTTACTCCAGAGCAGTTGCAGTCTCACATGAAGTCTCAGAGGTCAGTGCTTCAGGTCTGTGGTGTGATCTGATAAGAGCTCTCTCCCATGACCATTCTTCCTCTGTGTCTGTCTGCAGCCGCTCAGTCATTAGAGCGTGTGTGTCTCTGCGATGCTTGTCTCTGCAGCCTGCCCTCAAACACACAAACACACACACACACCTCTGTACTGTACATATATGCGTGTGCACACATGTTCATGTGTGTTAAACACTGTTGTTTCTGTGGGTGTTTTTAGAGGAAAAGGATAGCAAAACAGAACACTGCATTGATTGTGAGCAGTTCCATAAAAGATAAATAAATATGATTAAATTGAATGATGAAGATGCATAGAAAATGTTTACCAAAATTTTAATATTGTAAAAAAAATTACTTAGATTGACCTTCAAGAATAATGTGTATTCTGGTTCATAGTTATTCACATGCTATTTTGCTTTAGTGTTGTTTTAAGACACAATTTCACATGAGAATACAATATTTTATAGGCCAATATTAGTTAATACAGATGGGGGCAGCTGAAGTGGATATATTTTTTAATGCTCGTATTGTAATCCAGTGGCGTCTTAGGTCTAGTGAATAATAAAAACAATCAGGGGCAACTTTTGTGAATTTATCTTTTGGATATTTTATGGCAAAATACAATATTAATCCTTTGCAGTGACATCATGCTTGGGGTGTTCTATGTGTATCTCTACTGGCGGAATTTTGAGTAGTTACCATAGAGATAATGCACACATTAGCAAACACAGCCAAAAAAGTTTTAAGATAGTGTGAAAACCCAAGAAAAAATACAAAATTGATTTAAACAGGTATTACATTATCCATAAATCCAGTGTTGTCGACTGATGGATAATCCTTTTTGTTAATGTGATACTAGACACTGAAATGTCTGTAGAATATGAAATGGATCAAAGTTTTGATAGCTGTTGCACATAAACCAATGTAAAGTTCACATGTCATGTCAAATTCCTCGTAAAACTGTGAACTGCAATGCAGCAACGTAAAAACTGTCATTCACATGGTTGTACCAAAAGCAGACTTCACAAATGGCCTCTCCATTCACTGACAAGAGTTATTCACATGGACAATATTATTAAAGGGCCCATATTACACTATTTTTTATTTATGTTATAATGTTGCTTATGCAAAGCATACCTGGAGTTGTGTTTTGTTTCATTCACACATGTTTAACACACAAACCCTGGATATTTAAGATGACTTCTTTTCTCAAATTGGTAACAGCCTGTTACACCTTGTAATTTTGAGCTTTGGAGATGTAGACAGACTAATAATAAAACACAATTTCAGGTTTTTGATGAGGTAGCAGCATTATATTATGACTTAAAGTTCACAAGATTCAACTTTGCATAATATGGGACTTTTAAGATACATGTTTCATTAAAACATGTTGCTACGATCCTAAAATTTCAAACTCAACTTTGATACTAAGGCAAGACATTAAATCGTAGTACTTTATTTTATATTACTGTTCTGTTTTATCCCTCAGTCGTCGAGGTAGGTACCATAGTAGTCCATGGGTGTACTTGCTTATACTTGCTCTGGTACAGCTCAAGGTCATTCTAAAGCTATTTAGGAAAGGTTCTTTTCTGTCCTGTGAATTTGACTTTTTTATTACTGATACTTGTTCAAATGAGTATACTAGCATACAATACTAGTTTTAGTATCAATTAGTATCTGATTTTCGATAATTTTGACAACCCTAAGTAAATAGCAATTTTAAAAAAAAATATTAAAATGTGTATGTGGTTTTATAATAAACCTATATTGTATGTTATTCTATATAAAATGCAATTTATTAGTTCTCCTCTAACAACTATGAAACTGGCAATTGTTGTTAGTGATAGTTTCGTTTTACTTATTCATACTTCATCTGTGTTATATTTTATTTTTAAAAAACACAACAGGACCACAATTCTGCTCATTTTGTTTATTGCACTTAAAACCATGATGCAAAGAAAATTTAAAATAAAACCACAGAAACCATGAGTTGAATAGAAAAGTAGCATTTTCACTTGGACAACACTTCATCTACTAAACCCAGCCACACTCGCTCACACTCTAAACTGACACGAGACGATGGCAACCGCAGGACCCCCATGTGAACACACGTATCCCTCCGCCTGCCCCGACACCTCATACCTGGGACGAATGGATCCACACATTCAAGTATTTCTATCATTGCACAGGCACTAGATTTTCCTACATTATATATTAACTCTCAGCCAAAGAGCCAACTGCCCACAGTCACAGTTAAGCAATCAGCTGGTATGAATGAAATATACATCCTGGAAAAGAATCTCTCCACAACAGTAACATCAAATATATTACAAAGAAATCATATCAAAACTCTTTGTCTCACATTGGCTTTTGGTACCATCAACCTAATCCAATAAAGCAGACAGTAGTTAGTAACAGGAGGTGTAAACAAAGGCGTGGGCTTGCTCATGTCTGACATTGTTCAGAAGCAGGCGTAGTACTGTTAGAGTGGTGAGTACTGTTAAACTGGAGCAAGAGGCACAGATCCAGCAGTGGCTTTAGTACATGCCCCCTTTGCCCTCTTCTGGACAAATGAGGAAGTACACCTCTCATGTTGCATTGATGATCCCTTTAAACTGAAAATTGTGTTACTGCTTAATTAATTTTAAATAAATATGAATTTTAATAAATACTCTTTCAAGGACATAGAACATTTATGGGCAAATTATCAGACAACTCCAGGAGTAAGCCTGCACTCCAATCAAATAATATTATCTCCAGTACCAATGTCAAGAGCCACAACAGCTCAATTAAAAAGAAAAGACACTTTTGCAGCAAATAATTCTCTTGATTATTAAGACAACAGGAACCTCTTCCTCCTCCACTGTGAGAGTTCAACCCAAACCCCTGGGAATACCAACAATACTAAGAAACACAGAGTTCAGCTGCAGAGAGGAAGCGGCCCTTTAAAGTCCCCCAGAATTCACTGAATTCAAACATTGTCCTGCACCAGTGGACCAGCAGAGGGTGTGGTAGTGCTGCGAGGAGCCCATTGGTGCCAGCTGGACTTACACTATCCTACATTAGAGTCGTCATAACAGGGGGCTTGAGCAGTCCATACTTTAGTTAAAAAACATATCCCACATCCTTTTAAATGCAAAGTCCCTTGCATTGTAAGCAGTAGTGCACATAGAGTCATTGCACTGTTTTGGGTCCTATCCAGCAGGCGGCAGGTCCAGACCACAGGCAGGTGGTCCGCAGTGGTCCCAGTGAGAGCAGCACAGATGGGCTCAGACCAGAGTCCAGTTCAAAGCTTCATTCCCCCGAGCTCCAGCTCAGTCTGAGCTGTCACACCACACTCAGCTACCTCCGGCGAGGGCCATTGTGGCCCGGCTCTGTGCCTGGCTCCCCCTGGAGGTCATCCTCCACCACGTAACTATAGCCCTCCTTCTCGATGCATTCAGCCAATACCCTCAGCACCTGGACACAGAGAGCACAGGACCAAGTCAGACATGAATAATGAAGGAGAGGGCTGCAGAACAGTCAGCAGTAATCACTGGATGTCTTCAAACATTTAGACCCGCTCTAGGCACTCCTAGAAAGACTCATTTTCAACAAAACAAAGTTTATGCCACAATAAGACTGCACAAGTTGACCTTTACTATTCATTTACAGATAGCAGAACTCTGCAAGTACACACTGTATAGTCTTCCTAAGCTAAGAGTAGCTGAGCTCTACTGAGTTTTGGCTCTGACCTGGCGCAGTCTGCGGTCCAAGGCGTCCAGGTGTGGCTGGATGAGGATGGGGCTGAGGCGGTCCCGGAGCAGGGACTCTGCCATCAGCACAGACAGCTTATATTCCTCTTTAGCCAGCAGCTGCAGCCGGAGGTGTGTGGACTTCCTGACTCTGCAGAAAAAAAGCAGCAGGGGGTACATGTCAGTGGCCACAGCGCACAGTGATAGCCCTGTTCTGCAAAACCAAAGTCTATATATCATCTACTTCATATTACAGAGTGTTACTTTAGGAGCAGGCTTTTTACAGTGTATGCAGTTTATAGTACATAGTTTCACCTAATAAAAGCCTTCTCAACTTTGAAGAATAAAAACCAGAAGGATATTTATATTTTACCACTATTTGAGGAAAATATACAAGTTTATTACTGAAGGTCCCATATAGAACATGTAGACTGGAAACTTGATCTATTCTAACATGGGCAAAGAGAGATCAAAGCTTGTCCTCACAACTAAAAGTAATGCGTGTCAATAAAACAAAAAAACTAATGAGGAGGAAAGCAAATATCTTTACTTTTAAGAAGTGTATAATAATAAACTAAAAGCTAGTATGGCTAATGTTCTATGTAAACATACACATGTGTACCTGCAGCACTGGCTCAGTGGCACCAGAATAGAGAGTTCATCATGAGAATGCTTCCCAAACCCTCTGCCATTGTCCAGGTGAATGATGAAGGTCTCGTTCCCAAACTTCTCAAAGGTCTCGTAGTGGTGACGATCCATGTTTCCTGGAAAAAGGTTAGTAAACATTAGCTTGCTTTAGTTATAGTGTGGTCCCATGAGGTGTTGTATCAGGACTCACCCATTAGAAAGTCAAAGATGGTCATGTCCATAACATCCAGCAGTCTTGTCCCAGTGTCATAAGGAGGAGTCTGTTTGACCTCTTCACAGTAGTCAGGGTCCACCTCCCATCTGGAAATTCACAATCAAGCTTTAGTCCATATTGAATTTGAATAGGGTTATTGCTATATATTTTACATTAACTTGTTTTTAAAATATTTTTATAAATACAATATATTTCAATTAAGATTATGTAGATCTCCCTTGACTCACTCTGCCTTCTTGCGTTTGTGGTAGGAGCGTCTCCAGGGGTTCCTCCAGGTCTTGCGTTTGGCCAGGGCGAGATCTGGGAGAAAAGCAGCCATAGAGCCCTCGATCTGGTCAGGTTTGCCGCACAGAGCGTGCTCAGTGGAGCAGTAGTAGGAGCACTCGCCGTAGAAACACACATTATTGGCTGTGCATGCAAAGACACACAAACACTCTTATTAATGAGGGCAAATATATGTTCTGTGAAAGTACTTAGTGATAAATACTGTTGTTAGATGACATGCCTATTTGAGAAGCAAAGTGCATATATTTAAAACACCATAATAAATTACCCTGGACTATTTGTATTAATTGCTGTGATCCACAGTACTTTGAATCCTGTGAGGATAGTCCATATGTTTAATATGCAAAGTAAAAAGTATCATGCTAATGAGGTGTCATGCTGGTGCCAGTGTCCCCTGATAACACTAATCCCAGGCAAATGAATATTCAGGACACAGGACGCTCCACATTCTAAAGCAGGACAACTGCTCTTTAATGCATTAGCCTCAACATGTCAGGAACTGAACTCTCAACGCTGTGACAAATGTGTGTGTGTGTGTTTTAGTCACCTGGAGATATGAAGAAGGTCTTCCACAGTTTTTTGTCCCGTGTCATATCTCGGATCTCCTTTGTCATGTTGACCAATCGACCCGCTACAGGAGGAACCCGGCGAAAGTCCAGCACCCTGCACACAGAAGGTAAATTTGGACAAATGTTTAAAGAAGCACCGAGCATATTGTCATTTAAATATATGCACTTCTATTCTATTGGTAGAATAATGATTAAATTAAATCTTATACATGTCAAAATAATGTAAATAAGAGAATAAAAGTCCATAACCAGACATGTGCTAAAATAGCCATTGAATTTACTTCACACCATGAAAAAAAGCCAATCCACCCCAGATGGGACTCGAACCCACAATCCCTGGCTTAGGAGGCCAGTGCCTTATCCATTAGGCCACTGGGGCACACATTCCATTGAATGGTTAAAGAAAATACACAACAACTGCCACCAGAGGGCACTCTCATGCAGCAGATGGGTCTTTGAGCTCTGTTAATGACTCTTGCTCACAGTTTCTTGTAGAACTGCATCATTTTTCTGTACTCTCATGTCCCATCTAATGAAAGTAATTTAAAGAGTAATATTACACATTTATATTTAGGCCTACACTTTCTACCATAAAAACCTTGTATGTCTGTTGTGCCACACAGGTCTTACACTAGTGCTGCAGGAAACCTCCAGCTCCAACATGAGCACAGGCTCTTTAAAAATGAATATCCCTGACAAAACTTAATGACCACAGCCCCAGGGCACAGACACTGAGAGAGATAACGAACACGAGCGCCCAACGAACGATGACAGCCCACGGACACAAGCAGGAGACAAAGAGGAGAACACCAGACAGGAGCAGGAGACGAAGAGGAGAACACCAGACAAGAGCAGGAGACGAAGAGGAGAACACCAGACAAGAGCAGGCGAGGAAGAGAAGAAGAACACCAGACAGACAGGAGCAGGTGAGGAAGAGAAGAACACCAGACAGACAGGAGCAGGTGAGGAAGAGGAGGAGAACACTAGACAGACAGAAACAGGCGAGAAAGAGAACATAAAGTGTTTGTTATTCGGGGCCAGGGTTACCACCAAATTGTCCCCTTGGTTCATCACTTCAGACTCCCATGGATGGGCGTAGATCACCCCCTGCTTTTGGCGAGGGCACAGTGCACACTCACATGAGAGGAGAGTATGGGGGGATATTTTCAGGATGAATGGAGTCTTATAAGTCATTGTGTGCAGATGACTCTTTTCTGCCTAATGCAGCAAACGCACTTCCCATTTAAATCCAATCACATAATTAATGAGGTGTAGCGTCTATAGGAGGAGACAGTGTATTGTGTGTGGGGTTTGAACAGGGCCTTATGCGTCTGCGGCCCCCAGGGAGGCACTGTAGCCTAAGCCTCTGCACCAGCAGCAGCTCTGTAGCCAGTCACTAATTTAGAACAGACAAAATAAGGGAAAAAACACAGCAGTGCTTTTGGCTAACCCTGCCTGCCTTATATTTAGAATGGGCACAGGCCTTTCATGCCTTTGGTTTCCTCCTCTTCCTCCTAACCCACACATGTGCTGAGGAGAGCAGCGGGCCAGCAGATGTGGAGCACAACAAACTGTTCTCTCATACACTTCTGGTGACGTGTGTGTATGTGCCTGAAGGAGGAGCAGGTCCTCACATGTGTGTGTGTACGTGCACATGCGTGTGACTTCAGCATCACCTTCACAGCACCTACACACCTCACACTCCAACAGCATAGAGCTCATAAAAGTACAGTACAGTGACGTCTAAACTTACAGTCTAATATAGTGTGCACAAACAACCTGGGCTGAGCCCGTAGTGTTAAGAGGAAAGTGTGTGCGTGCGTGTGTGTGTCGGTACATGCAGAGGAGGCACAGCTCTGCTCAGGACTCTCAGCTGCAGGACTCATGGCTACACTGTGTGGGACTCATGAACACCCAGTGTGGACAGCACACAGGCCTGCTGCAGAGGAAGAGCACTGTGCTCTCACACACTGTGTGGAGATGTGGGACCCACTCCATTCATACAGACACAGACACAAGACCTGCAACTCAACTCAGCCAAATCTTTCCTTTTTACAAGGCTTTCTGTGCATCAGACATGAGCAGTGCTAGTAATACTGTATAAATAGAAAGACTGTTGTGCAGGTCTTCAGTCCTCCATGGGGTTAATGAGCAAAGAGGCAATTGAGCAATCAGAGAAGAACCAAGCACTGGTGCTGGAGCTGAGGCTATCAGAGAGAGGGGCTCCCAATACTGCTACCACACAAATTGTACTAAACACAATTCACACAGCTCATTCACAACCGTCTAAGTGGGGTCTGTTTTACTTTGTATATCCGTTTTTATTTTGAAAAGATAAACATGCTTCCACCCCCAAAAGCAGGATCCCTCACTAGATGGAGCACTGTTCACGTAAACCTACCTGTCCAGATGAAAAGCAGCGATCTCAGCGTTGTGCCTCTCAAAGTCAGAGAAGTAGAAGAAGTCTGGAGGAGTTTGCTGCTCCCGGGTTTGCCTGTAGGTGCACACAGAGACAACAGGTACACATTAGAAACAGATTTAAAACTACATTACATTACAAAAAGGAACAAAACATTTCTTCAGTACAACTTGTGCACTTTTCCAATATTTAGCATTAAACTACAACATATGTAAACCATTGTTTTACATTTTGTCCATTGCGATGTTGATCTAAAACAGCTTGATTGTACAAATGAGTTGATTCCCTTCTTGCCTGAACTGCAGAACTGGGAAGCATTGCCTCTTGACAGTTTAGAACAATATACCTATACATCTACCTAAAAGGTATTTTCAGAACACACAAGCCATGACTGTAGGATAGTACAGCATTACTAAAACATGCATGAATCAATCAAGGTACAACTACAAGCTAATGATGCGAGAACTCTATTAGAACAGCTCATGAAAGTCGATTTTCCATAACAAGTTCCCTTTAAAAGTTAAAAGACTCCACAGACTTTGTGAGAAATAACTGCTCCACTATAAAGGCACGTCCTTGCCTGGCCGAGTGACAGTGGATACGGGTTTTGCAACATTGTAGAGGAGTGAGCCTTAGACATCTGAAGGTCACAGACTTCACTCTCTCTCTACCTATTTCTGTCCAGCCGCCTGTGATCCTTTCCCCCCCAAAAAAGAAAAAAAAGAAAAACTGCTTTCCACACACATTCTGCCTTAAAGCTCTTCTGTAGCTGTTAAAGAGGCTTAAATCTCACCGCCGATGGAACGCCAGCCAAAAACGGAGCCGGGGTCAAAAGGAAGTGCAGGTGAAAAAGGCAGTATTGAAAATATGTTAATGTTTAATTCAATAAACCTTTCGGAGCGGTAAAGAGTGGATCAGCCCAGCGTCGCATTTCCCTCTCTTTGTCCTGAGTAGTTGCATATTGGAGTTATTTTGTCCCCATTCTTTCTATTGACGAGACTTTTCAGGAAGGCAGCTGACTGAGTGCAATGATTTGGATGGCGACCATTTGGGCTCCAGCTTGTTGAAGGAGGATGAGAAGAATGGAAACTATCTTGGCAACTTCTTTTGCTCTCTCCTGCTCCCTCCGGATGTCTCTCTCTCTCACACTCTTTCGTGTTTACTGCGCTCAAATCCTCTATCTCACCTCCTCCTCTTCGGCAGAACGCTTTCTCACCATTTTTTTTTTGTATTCAAGACCTAATACTTTTCTCTGTGTGTGTGTGTGTGTCTGCCTCTCCTCCTCAGCTGGCGGGGTTGATTGTAACTGCACAGCTGCACGGTCGACATATGCACCACTCATTAACTAAACCCACGTCAGGCACGGAAAGGCGCTCATCCACTAAAAATTCCTCAATTTCCTCCACTTTTTTGTTCAACACTCATCTTGTGTCACGGCCTAATCACTCTCAATCCAAGTTAGCAGAAAATGAGGGCAAAACAGAGGCTGCGTAGTATTAATAAAGCCCTAATGTGACCCTATATGCTCGCATCAGGTCTTCTGAGTTCAGCACCATATGGCTAAGTACATTTCTCCAGATGCACAGCGCAATTGAGGTGAATAACTGTTACAACATGGGGGAATTGGGTAATATTATAATTGTATAATGTGTTAAAGGTGCACTATGTTAATTTTCTGGTGGAGGCTGCTTGTTTCCATGGAGAACTTACAGCTTTACCTGCAACATTCTACTGTACAAGTAAGAATTAGTAAAAAAGTGAAGTGTGTGAGAGTGTTGGTGGTGGTCAGGGAGGGCAATTCTGTCAGTCTGCCCCAGGGCAACTGTAGCTATAAATAGTAGCTTGCCACCACTGAGTGTGGAGTGAATGCACCATAATATTTACAATAATAATACAGGATTACTCAAACATGAAATAAACAAAGCACAACTGCCGGTATGTTTTTGATGAGGTAACAGCATTATATTATGGCTTAAAGCTCACAAGAGTCAATCTGTGCAATATAGAACCTTTAACTGTTTAATATTACTGGTGTTTTTATTGCTAAAACAAAACCTTCAGAAACTTGCATTCTTTCTGTGCAGAGTAAATAGACAGGAGAGAGTTCAATACCATACTGTGAAACATCCTAGGCAAAGCAATAACCTCTCACTGGAGACAAGCAGGTGGCAAACACTTAATGGATATGTTCAATAATAACAGCATACTGTTGCAACTTCTATTGTAAATGCTTAAGCCTTGACGCCAAGTAAGGCCCTTAAAGACACACTTTGTAAGGTTTTATAGTACTCAAACTTAAAAAAAATATATATATATTGTGTTGCTTACTGTAGAGGACAATAAAGCCTACCCACAGGCCCAAAAAGTTATACAATTGTCAATAAAGGCCTCTCAGTAAAATGAATCACGAGAAATAAATAAGCCATGTCCACAGATTTGTTTACCAGAATTTACCTGTGAAATGATTTCCAATGTGCCCTTTACATCAAACTAACTTTGCAAACATCACACATATCCGATATACAAGTTATAGATGTTTACTCGTATTCAAAAACACGGCAACCTCTCTCACTCTTTCTGTTTCTCTTCCGTCTCTCCTTTTGACTCTCCTCATGTCAAGAATAAAATGATAGTGACTTTGAACAGGGCGAGCTGTGTCTATTTATGCCGTTATCATTCAGGCAGGCATAGGAACTGAGTGTATGGGCGTGTTACAGATGAAAACTCAGTGGGCAAAGTTGCTCTTGGATTTATTCTCTGACAAATGTGGGAGCTGTTTGTCTCGGGCAAATAAATCCATCTTGCCGTGTTACATAAGACAGCATGCTACTTTCCTTCTCCAGCTGAATGAGTTTTTAACAGATCGATTTGCTCTGAAGAGATTATTATTAGTCGCTCTGAGGCAAATTTGAGGTATTATTTTAGTCTTTTAGATTGAAAAGAGATCGTGTTTTTGCTTGGACCACAGGTAGTAATTACTGGATTCAGTGATTAAAAACAAAAAAGTATTGCAAAATAAGTCGGCCCTGCTGAATGCATTTTATATTGTTGTATTATTCCTACTAAGGTTTCATTAGTTTTGCACGTCTATACAAAGAAATACAAAGTATTACACTGCTATCGGTTATTAATTATACATAACATATTTAGATTGCTATGTTATTTTTTATTGTTTTAAAAATGCTATATACGCAGAAAATAGTCCTGCTCCCTTTCCCCTTGCTATCACAACACAATCAGCTATAAGGAGGGTTTAAATAGGCCCGGTAGAGATTGTAAGATTACCCAAACATGCACGGATGACATATAAAACCACTTCAGGCATGTTTTTGATGAGGGAACAAAGTTATAACATGGTGGAAAGCGTCCAAAAGTTGTATAATGCCCGCTCTTAAAGAATAGGGGTGAGCAATGTTGACAAAAATTAATATTAATATTGATTTGTAGTATGACGACAATGATAATCGTGAGAAATTTGGGTGAAAAAAATATTAAAACTTGCCTTAAATTCTTCAAAAGTGCAGAAAATATCACTTCATACTCTTAGCTGGAAGATCACAACATATGTTTATGCCATTCAGCTCAGCTCATTACAATTTGATATTGTCCTTATTCTCCCCATTCATTTCAATTGAGGATTTGGGAAAAGTTTTGCCGCTAAAAAATGAAATAAAGTAGGTTTATTTCTGTAAAATGTTCAATGTTCATGTGCACCAACAAGTCAACACTGCAGTGATTATTGAGAAGCTTTAAAACTGCTATCTAATCTGGATAGAACTTATTTGCTGTGAGATTGGTAGCCCTGTACAAAATAACACACAACCCCAATGACAATGACGGTGCCCACAGCAACTTACGGAATAAGGTGAATAGTGCCAACCTCTACTAGGATTGCAGTTAGAATCAGTCCCTACAACAACAAGGTAACCTTCATCACAAAAAAGAAAAAAATCTCTTTATGTAACCCATATCCTGCAATAAAAAAAGAGAAAGTGTTTGCAGCTGTCCAGGTTTTATGCCGAGAAACTATGCCAACCGGTTCCAAACTAATGAGAGCTTTGCTGAAAGAAGCCCATATTTTTGTGGTCAAAATTGTTCCTTGGCACTACTGTGTCTTGCACCCTCGCCAGAACACCTGCCGAGACTCAAGACGTCCCATTGGCTCAACAAAAAACCCTCTTACTCATCTGAACTGTAACATATTTTTAGCTCCCTGTGACATAACCAGAGTGGGCATATCGGACTGACTGAGAGGTGGTGCCATTATTTTAGTTTCTGCGGACAGTACAGAATAGTCGCTATGGAGATTTGTAAACGTTGTGCGTTTTTCACATGTTTCGGCCACATGCCTGAGTCCATATGGCAGTGCTGTTTTTGGAGCCTTCACTTTTTGAATGGATTCTTTGGACGGCAGTTTTTAGCTTGTATTGTGGAAAGAGTTTTGCAAATTTTTACTCAAGCAAAAGTGCTGTTGTTAAAGTGGAATTAAAAGGAAAAAGTACACATGAAAAATACCATGCCAAGTACTAGTTTGGCACAGTTTTAGCAGCATTTTTGTTCAGTCAAGTTGTTTTAAATACTCATCTGAGCAATCTTTGAGCTCCGGCCAATCAGAATAGGTGAGGTGTGCTTTTTTGTTTGTAAGTAAAAAAAAGTAGCAGAGACAGCAATAAGAGAGAGAGTACTAGATGTTAAACAGCTAGAATTTAAGGGTCCTATATCAGTGTTTCTGGGGACCCATATTTTAAAAGTCACAAATCTTTGCAACCCAAGTCAACAGACATTATTCGTAAATCACAAAATAAAAGTGGATTTGACTATTATTGAACATTAATGAGGATATTTTATTGTTTACTGCGTGATCGTGTCTCTCTGAACAATAAGTATTACTCAAGTTTTAAATAATGAAAAACAGTAGTCGCCTGTTTGGACATTAAATGTAGCCCATTTCTTTTTCTTTTGAACATTCAATTGAACCAGCAATACTGGAACAAAATAGTCAATAAAATAATTACAAAATAAGGCAACCCCAAAAAAATAAATATATTGCAAAATGGACTCTCGTGAGACATGTT